GAATGTGCCGGCGGGCATTGATAAATTCCAGATACTGCGAAGAGACCCAATGGCTATGTTTGCTAGTGGATTTACAACATGATGATTTATTTGCTGCCAGTAAGATGTGAGGAACAGTGACCTTCAAGTGTATTTAGTAAGCGCCTGCTCAACCAGAACGCCAGCGTACTTCGATACGCATTCAGAACAGCTAGCTTTGCCAGTTGGTTGGTGTCTATGCGCTCACAGGGTCGTCGAGGGCGACCGCAAAAACGCACCCGCGGATCAGCACATACAAGTGCATAGTCGGGGTTCACACATGTGCCCCAAAACGAGACTGTTTTGGACAGCCTCTCCAGCGATAAGTGATCGCAATGTGATTGATCTGCGTCCACGACTGGTGGGCACCATGTCATCCTCTGGCGAATGCTGCTGTATTGGTAGATAGTGCTCGCAAGAAGCGAGTATCTTCATACAAACGAAGTAACCGCTCAACGTTATCATTACGGGAGCTTGCACCATGTTGGCCATCCAGATGCATCTAATCAGTGGACAATTTCCCAACTTCAGCGTTCAGATCCCTAGCCACCACTACAGTGTCCGTGCTTCTTCTGTGGCGTAAGAGTTCGTTCACTTGACAATAGAAGTCGTCTTTTACCGAGGTATCGCTAAGTTTGTGGGGGCGTAGAGAGCGATGACGAATGGACACCTATTAGTCCCGCGCGATTTCGAAGCTTTGAACGAGCCAGCTAGTTGGAGCGCACACATCCGGTTACTGATTGGGATCCAAACAGCCTGAGCAACTTCAGCCCGGGGACTCAGGGGAAAGAGGCGAGATCGTCGAAACGCCGTTTGACCCTAATTCCCGGTGGGAATGACAGTGAAATACAGCGGAATGGAAGACACTTTTTCTTCACACGAACCAATGCCTCGATCGACCAACTACGAGTTGTCATCGTCTTTGACCAACGATGGAAGACGGCCGTCATGGCCAAGTAATTCGTCCATACTGTGACGCCAACCTCTCAGATGGGCTCAAGTGCCCCAAGTAACAACTATGACGCAACTGAACCACCCATCAAATTAGAAGGCCAAACATTTTAGTGAAAAGGAGCTAATGTGATCTTTATTCATCAAAATGTGGTTTCCAATCGCACGAGTTTGTTTCCTTTAGGTCCAGATATTGCAGTTCCGAAGGGGACCAGAAGAAGGACAATGGGGAGGATGTCATTAAAAACAACACTAATTGGTTGACACCCCATGAAACCCCATGTAACTGTTCGCACGACTAACGTTTGGATAGGGCTTGAACGTACCGAGATATGTGGTGGATTTGACAAGTTTGCTGCTGACCCCATTGCTAAGTAGACCTGCGACATTGGTATCTGTAGTACTCATCATCCCGAGAAGTTTCAGCGTCTTGTGGCATGGACAACAATGCACATGTCCTTGGAGTGCTACAGCTTGCTGCACTTAGGTAGTCTAGACACAATCACGAGGATCTCTAGTCTACGTCATTCCCTAACCGGTGAGGGTGGGCTGGATCGTGATAAATGGGGTCAGCGCACTTCGGCGGTTGTAGCCAAAATATGGTTGATCAACTGAATTAACCTGATGGTGGCTACATGCAACCTGCCACATTCCGGATCCGCAAATTTTATAATGTAGTCTGTGCATCCTCGATTAGTCTTAGACCGAATTTATCCATCAATGATTATTGCATGAGTGGGATCATGAACCTAATGTTATTGACATCAGTAGTATGTGATACTTCTTCGTTTTTCAAACCCACATGAAAGCCGAAATGGAAACAGCCCACATTTCACCATAATTCTTCGCGCTTCGGTCTGGGTGTTCCATTATGCAGTGTTAAATAGTACCATGCAAGGCGATGACGTAAGATGTTCTTGTGGGTGGACATCGCATCCCTGCCTACAGAAAAAAGTCGATCTATGCCTAAGTTCACGAAAGCCTCTAAAAGACCTGAGCGATCGACTGCACTTAGGTTTTTTTTACTAACTCGTTACCGACGTTTTGATGTGAGTAGTACACGCAAGTTCTTTTTTGCCAAATGTGGTCACTTTTCAATAAAATAGACAACGGATGACAGCTGAGAAATCAAGGAAGAAAACATGAGCATCAGAAAAGTTCACGGGAATAGACTGAGCTTAAATGAGTAGTATAGGACTAAGAGGAAATCAAAGCATAATTCCATCACCCAGACAACTACCTTCTACCGGATAACCTTTGTATCAGAATATACTGTTACCCTCATGCAAGAGACTGAAACATCTGTAACGGTATCGATCTGACTCTTCCTGGAATCAGCTTCTCGGAACGTCGAGAAACATACTGCCTATCTCTGTGCCTAGTTGTAAGTGATACGCGTGCTCTATTGAAGAGCGCCGTATTCTACACAAGGATGGGTTCATTTCGGGGAAGGACGCGTAATTTTATCAGTTAAAAGAGATGTGTTGATCTGTGCAGTATAAAGTGTCCATTTAGTGCAATTGTTGACTGTGTTTGCTGGGTTTTGCAAATTAGACGGCATCCACGTACTCCAATAGGTATCCACTTTTCTATCATCAGCCGGTTTGAAGTCATCATCAATACACGTTAGCAGAGGGTGAGAAAAACACCTCAGCTAATGCGCCGCAAAACAAAAATATAAGATACTGACAATTTACATACAAAGAATTCAAAAAGCAAACAATATAATGTCAAGTAGTATATGATGCACTCCGCACAAGATCGTAAATGGAGGGGGAATTTAAAGGGGAGAAACAAACAGACTCACAACATAAACGCCACTGGGGTCGCCTCCTAGCCATGTCAGCAAGTGTGTCCAACCAAATGTGTTCATCGTCTTCCGGACCCTAACCAGACAGTCGGGATGCATCAACCGACGCCAGTTTCGAAGTGAGGGTTTTCATTCCTCTCGACCAAGTCATCACTTGGCCTCCCCTCTTCCTCTTCCAACCGCGCACCGGCGCGCAAACAATGCACATCGCGGGAGTCGTTGGGCTGGAATGCGCAACACGTTACCCAGCCATCGGAGCCTGGTGTGTGATATAATGGTGCTGAGCGGTTCACTTGCTATCCCTGCACCAAATATGCGACGCCCATTGCCCACGCAGTGCCCCTACCAGACAGGAGCTAAGCTGCGGAGGCAACGATGATCGAATGCGACGAGCCTCTTTCTGCCTGTCGACCTGATGGACCAGGTTTCACAACCATGTAGGAAAGTTGAACGGTCGGTTGCGTTATAAACTCTACCCTTTAGGGCGAGAGTAATGTCGCGTTTGCGTCACAGGTGGCGGCGATTGGCAAAAGCACCTCGTGCTTTTGCTACTCGGTTCGTAACCTCAGCTTCGATCCCACGGACAGTGGTATAGCTGCCAAGGTACTTGAATTCCTGAAAGACTTGCAGTTGAACGACTTCGAGTTAATCATTGGTTTAAAGAGGACACTAATCAGCTGCGGTCTGACTGTGCTTCAACTACAGGTAACCACCGATTGGCTGTGATTGGCGGGGCAGTTCGGTCGCCCTAATTCAATCACGCTTACTGCTATCGTTATCTGCAAAGGGTAAATTGGTGCGTTCGTTTGACTTGTTCACATAACATCACTTGCACTTTGTTTAATTTTCGTACAGCATACCTTTTGTCTTTATGAGGGCAAGCAAATTTGGCACGCTTAAATTCTGCTTCACGTGCTCAAACCTTACACACCGCCGCTATTTCAGCTGCAGTGTAAACATAGCCGACTTGGTCGCGGCACATGAAAACATCAATTTATGGCGTAAGTAATGCATCCTTGTACCGTTGCCAAGATTACGTTTATTACAGTAGGTGGAGTCACCCAACCTGTGCTTAAACGCTAATATCGGAACGACGTGTCAAGACTGGCTATGTAAAACGCAAGATCCCAAGTTATCTGACACAAAACTCTCAAAAGGGGGTTATAAGCCCTTGTTGGTCGCTGAAGTGGTTCAGAATCGCTCAGTGATGAAAAGAGCCAAGAGCAAGCCACAACCTCGTGCAAATCTGATACACACGTTTCAGGCCTCCGAGCGCGTGCCCTAATATGCACGTTGAGATTGCATTCGACAGTCCCTGTCATAAACCGAGAGCACTGGTGCACGGAGCTGGCCACTCAAGGGAGAACGAGTTGGGAAACCATGGGCTAAGTGGAGAACAACTGTAACTCCAAGTCACGTGCCTATAGGGGTTATCACCCTTGATTTGCGATCGATGTGAGTATGGATAGGCAACCAGCAGTGCGATGCAAACCGTTTGTGGTTCACCGCAGGATCTCGCGCGCGCTTACTTGTTCCATACTTGATGGGAGACATGGGGGAGCGTAGACGTTCGTCGAAAATGCCAAGTAATACGCCTGCGGGTAAAGGTGAGCGGATTCATCTATTTGTACCATGGTCATCGAACTTTGTGTACTCGTGTAGGTAAATTCGAACGAGAATCTAGACCTTGACAAGCAATAGTAAGGTGACTCACGCGTAAAATTGCTATATGAGTGATGGCGAAGAAACTGCAACTAACCTTACGGTTGACAACTGACTTCATACTTACGATGTCGGTATGAAAACTTGGGCGAATCCGGTCGTCCAAAAAGAGATAGAGGAAGTCAGACTATATATATATATATATATATATATATATATATATATATATATATATATATATATATATATATATATATATACGCTGGATATGGGGCGTGCGGATGGAGCCGTGGGTGGTGCAGCGCAAGCCACCCATGGTCCTTCTGTAGGCGCAGACGTCCTGTGGCTGGCCACAGTGACAAGCAAATCCGAAACCGGATGCCGCCAAGCATGTATGTGTGAGACCGTCCTGTGACTGGCCACAGTGACAGCCAAATCAGAAACCTGGTGCCGCCAAACAGCAATGTGTGAGCCAGTATTTTCGGATACAGTTGGCCCATTCATGAGGAATCAAATACGACTGAGAAGCAAAAGGGAAAGTTTATCGATTCGAACCAACCTTAAACAGTATACCGAAGCCATAGATGAAATGACACGGGGGGAGATAATTCTTACGACCACGAATCATAAAGGCCCCAGTTGTTAGGTACTCTCCAGAAGGAGCGGTCTTAGACACCTGATCCTGTCGTACCCACCATGCGCTGGTCACAACGCGAGCGTCCCACGCGGAGCTAAGAGTGATGGCCATTGTACCCGCCTCTCCAAGTGTTCTCAGTGGTGGTAACGGCAGACGAGTTGTCTCTTGAGCCGAAGTTGCGTCCACATTGGAGGCTACAATAAGGGGTTGAACAAATGGTTGTATACAGCTGAGGTCAATCAATAAAGAGAAATGACGATTAGCCAGAACAACCGAAGAAAGTATGTCATAATAAATTCGGGAGTGTCACTGTCGCTTGCAATGTAAATCAGCTTTGGTTTGTAATAACATGTTACCCAAACATTTTTGGGTCAATGCACGCTGAGTACATTGTTTTACAAAGTTTGGAAAGGCATACAGAGGCAAACACCGGCCGGTAGAAGCTGGTTAGTGCATTTGCCATGGGAAACAGTCAACAAAAGTGCTTGGAGCTTGAGTGTATGATAGTGAGATTCTGAAACGAGAGAGATTCGGTCAAGGGCTACTGCAGTAATCATGAACTGCAAATCTGGACCAATGATAGACAAGTAATCTGTTGTCTAAATGGAAAAATGGATACAGCCGAGATAGAAATGGGACAACATTGGGCGCAAACAATCTAATATTGTATTACTCGTGAGTAGCAGAATTTTAGTTGTGATGTTCATCTCAAATTATGTAACCCAGCCAACGTCCCCCATGGCTCAGTGGCTGAAGCTGCTGGCTAGTTGGCATCTGCCGCTAGCGGTCATGGGTTCGATCCCCATTAGGGGACCGAGAGAATGCGTACCATAGACGAGCTCCAATAGGGCGAAACGCGTCTGGTGCTTTTCCGGACTAGGCTGTGCTGTGTAGCTTGTGAACTACTGGGATGAATACCAAAAATGCAATGTTGTGCCGGAAATATATTTCCAATGTGGCTACAACACTGTCAGAGGAACTCATCCCAAAACACGCACAATTACTGAAAGGTATGCGTCGTCCAAGAGACCAGGTGATTCCGAACTGCATAAGAAGTAGAAATTTATGGGAAATTGTGTAACCAGAGAGAGCGAAATCAGAATGAAACACGGTGGTTATGTAACTAATTACCAGCGCCGTTTGGTACACATGGCGCAAAAAGTGTGGTTTATTGCAGATTCACATTTGCTTCAGATGATCAAAAGACGACTGGACTAATATGGGGAATTGCCCTGAGATAAGTGTTTTCAGGTAGCATGTGTCAGATGCGGAGGGTCTTAGCGCTCACGGAAATATTCACTCGCAGAGAACGACGTGTACTTTGCATGCTGTCAGCAAAGTCGCAAGATGTCGTCCGATTGTTGTGAGAACAGATCAAACACATGAGATGGAGTGTGGTAGGAGCTGTATGTGTGGTGCCAAGACTCGTAGAAGAGGAGAAACAGAGAAGTTTCTATGAAGAACGTCATAAAACTGTTGTGTCGAAGCCCCACGACTGCTTCCACCCACTAACGGTAGTGAGAACACCAACGACCGGGCAAGAAACAATGTTCACGCCGAAAGCCAAACCGGTTACCAAGCGTATGTCTGTTCGAAGTAATCGAATCTTTCAAATCAGCGCATATACACAGGTTATGCGGAAAGACTGGCATTCGATCAGTCAAGGCTGGTCAGTTCAAAAAGCGGGGGGTTGATAAGTTGCCTCACGAACGAATGCAATTCACAAATTAAAAGCGAATAACTGTAAGCTTCAGTGTCCATACAAGCTAATCACAAATGTGAGGCAATAGTGAACGTATGCGAGGAACCGGAAAAGAGAACAAGGTGAATAGGGGTGAGTGGGAGTCAAAATTCACAAAACAACGGGGAGCGGTGGAGTATTCTTATCTCCGGTATAACAAAAACATTGATCATAACTAAATCGAGAAAGATCAGACAAAGAGACATGAAACTCCGTACCTGTATCGAAAGGCAACTCTTGAGGTAGGAGAGGCCGGGCTTTGACAACCACACTGCTGGCCCCATGCAAGTCTGCGTGCACGTACACATCGTGTGGCCCAAGATGACGCTTCACAAGTGCCTCATTTTGTTGTGCATCGCGACCCGCAACAACCAGATAGTTCTCGGAACTGATGAACCAGAAAAATTTTTCAAACCTAGAAAGGAAATGAGGGCAAGGATGGGTAATAAAGGATTGCTTCTATGCATCGTAAAGCTTAGGAAGCCAAATATGGATCCTCCGTCAAGGAAAAGGAGTGGACGAGAAGCTGGGAATGAACGCAGTAGCGAATGACACTGAGCCGATGCATCAACGGCTCCTTGTTGAACGTAATTCGTCGAGGTGGTGATGTGATTTTTGTCACAGAGTAGAGGCTTTAGAGATCGTCATGAACGACAAAACTGAATGGTAAACTATGCCGATAGAAGGTGTAAGAGGATGGTAGAGGTAAATTCACATTCGTGCACAAATCATAACTTACCACATGGGCTTCCGAACTTTCGAGACCTGAGCGACCGTCTTCACATCTTTCCTGATTTGATCAGCCTTTTGCGCTGCCGATTTCAAAGCCTGAATGAAATACAAAAGGAAATTCTAGCAAGCTCCTCAACAGGAAAGTTGGAGTATAAGCGAGCTGAGGGAAACAGAAGACATAAGCAACGATACGGCAAGACACGAAAACCACACGCAGTGTTTTGCTGATTGGAAACAGTGCTAAACTCAGCTATCGATACGGAGATGAATAATGGCTGATGGTTTCGAAAGGAGCAGTGTGTCCCACGTCAACGTGGGAGAAGGCTTTGGCTACTGTAGGCTACCGGTTCCATCATGTAAAGACTGGCTCGGACAATGGGATGCCTAGGACTCAGTTAGTAAGAGATACGTGCTCAAAAGCGGGGCAAACAGCCACGTAGCATTTAAATGTGGGTCTTCTCTAGGATGACGGCACACAATGATCGCAGGTTCCATAGTCAGGTAAGAAAGAGTTTATGTGAGCGTGTGGTTAAATAACGATATTCAATGCTTAACCAATACACATTTGGTAGTGGGTTTGTGTGTGGGGAGGGGGTTACGTCTGCTTGAGCAACAACTGCGTGAAGAAAATTAGTGGGATGGAGCTGTAGAATGCCAGGTAACCGGTCTTAAAACTGACAGTTTAATGTGTTCTCTACTGATTCGCCCCAGCAGCTTACAAACGCGATAGTCTAAACACCAAGCCGGAAAGGCGTATTCTCTCGGCCCCCTGCAGGGAATGGAAACCATGATCGTTAGCAGCTTATGCCACTGGTCACAATGGATAGTGGGAGGGTGTCTAAACTTGCAAGCTATCCTCCACTGTCATTCAGGACAGTGGTCGGTCTTCTGAATACTGTACGGAATCAGCAAGTTACCTCTGTATAACTGCATCTAAAATCCCTCAGGTACAATTGGAGATTATGTTGGCAAGCATACCTGATATTTAATGTCAGTAGTATTTGTCCAGGGACTTCTTGAATTCGGCAACCGACTTTATTCTGAATACGTGTGGCGGTAAGTTGTTCCATACATTCACTCTATTTGAAGCAGAGTTGGTGAGCGATTCACTTCAAATTCGGCACTACAAGCTTGTATCGGTGATCTCGTGTGCTGCTCTGTGTGCGCATATAGAGAAGCGGCCTCAAGATGGGTTAATATCCGGTACGTCATGATGAGGTCAACGCGCACTCAACGATAAGACAAAAGTCCTAGTCTCCTGCACCGGTCTTTGTAGGGCACAACTCGCAAAGTGGGGATGAACCTGGTGGCCACTGCTACACCCGCCCCGCGGGACAGGACAGTATGCCATACCCCATCACACTGGTCGTATGGTTGAAACGAAGAGGCGAGTGGCAATCTTTTCGAACCAAGTGCAGACGCTGCAGCAAGCGCCCAAAGCATACGAAATCCGCTTTCGTGTGTTGTCCACGGACTATGAGTCGGAGCTAGAGAACACACCGAAGTATTTAGCGAAAGACGTGGGATACAACGGTTGACTGGCCACAGTGTAGCTTCGACTGTATCCACCCTTACCCAGGCTCATGAATAGCGACGACCGGGTTCATCGGAAGAATGACCTCAGCAGACCACATGGAGAGGTGGCCAAGGTCACACAGAAGCAGGTCAAATTCATCGGGCGCACTGATTACTCTCCACATCTCCAAGTCGTCTACAAGCAACGCACAAAGCGGGCGGAGAAGCTGAGGCACATCGTCTAGACGGATAAGGAACAAAAATAGGTCCCAGTATCGTGCCTTGGGGCACGCCACTGGTCAAGGGATATTAGTCAGTAAGGTGGTTGTCGACCAAGACCCCCCTCTTTAGACCAACAAGGAAATTTCTGGTCCATTGGTGTGACGAACCGCCGACGCCGCACATGCTCAGCCTGTGGAGGAGGACCTCGTGGCTCACCTTCAAACGCCTTACTGAAGTGAACATAAATTATGTCGACGGACCTTCTCTAGTTCAGTGCTTGCAACAATTCCTTCCTCGTCACGAGCAAGTTGGTGATGCATTAGCGACCTTTCCCAAAACCGGCGTCAATGGGCTATTTGACTAAAAAAACGCAGAAGACACTTCTTCACGATCTTCTCAAGTGCTTTAGCCAAAATAGCGGTCAGGCAGATGCGTCGGTAAGTGTACACTTCGCTTGGGTCACGGCCTTTCGGCATTGACTTCACGACGCAGCATCTCCAGTCGCTCGGTAATGAACCTCTGGATAGAAAAAGGTCTCAGCAGTACGACGACACGCAGTATCGACGCCTTGCTGCCACGCACTACTCGCCTGTGGGCTAAGGATATTGCGATGGTTGCCCGGTCGCCTACACATGCTCGAACCCGCACCCACGGATTACAAGGCAGACTTGTGATCCCTAAGGCCATATGCCTGCGAAGCTGTAGACAATGACCTGTTGAACAGCTCGGACACAGAATGCGGGCTGATGACCGATAATGACTTGAGGATCAGTGGGTACATGTCATGACGACACACCACGCAGTAGCTATGTACGACAGCATCTGAAGACAGCGAGGGTGAAGTTCGATTACTGATGAGTAGGAGAATCTTGGTTGAAATTTAATCGAGTTTAATGTGTGTCGGCGGATGGTGTTGGATTTGGGATGGACTACCGAAATCGCCATTGCTCCCAAGGTTTTACATGCAAAAATGGTTAACCAGTCACCTACACGATTCCTCTCTAGCGGACTGCGTGAGACGACAGCTCTACGAGCACCTATAATTACCAGCGGATCGAGATATCTTTGGAGAAACTTTCGCCCATGTTTATTATGAAACATCACAAAATCTTGTACTACATTTGATCTGGAGAAGCTTTTGTGTCAAAAGAGGAACAATGCCCATTAAAGATGTCAAAGAAGTTGTTTTAAAGTTCGTCTGAAATGATGATGCCTTTATCGGTTTCGGATATATTCCAAGGCAACAAATGTTTCGTTGAAAGAGGCCACCTAGTCAGACGGCACTAAGCAGTCTTCTTCTCGACACCGATCGAATGCAGTCGTCGAGCAGGAGTCATTTCACAAAAGAGGAAATCACATTGAGTTACAATGGTATCTAAAGTCATAAAGTGAAACTGCGGACGAAAGATGAATACACGAGTCCATTGACAAAGCATCCTCATGCGCTAAGATGATGAGGTACAAGAGCGCACCTTACGCGAAGCGACAATAGTCCTCTCTTCCTTTTTGACTGCAGCCCGTTTTCTGTCGTAATATCTACATGGAAAATAGAAGCGAAAAGACAGTGTAGAGCGGAAAGAACAATGAAGAAGAGTTAATCGAAATAGTAAGTCGCTCAAAGAGGACTCACTTCCGAGCGTTGTTCAACGCATTCAAACCCAAATCCACGATCACTTCTGCGGTATCGACCCCGTTTGACACATCTGGGTGAATGGTCCCCTCATGGTCCGAGGCGTCGTGAAAAGGGTCGCTAATCGAATAGAATCAGTGTAAAGGGAACAGGGGCGAATTACCTCAGACGCAGTACTAATTGATTAGAGTGCAAATTAAGCTGCACAATATGACGGGCGAGCACGTCCCCTCGCCCACGAGCTTGCTCCACAATGTGCTCGAGCTGACACCAATCAATTTGATTAGACAACGCGTGATTGATCATCAGAATGATGCTATCGACCTAAAGAAAAATTAAACAATAGACGGCTTCATACAAAGATAACCTGAATAGCGTGAAAATCGTCAAGAAAGGTCCTCATAATTTTCCACACATATTGGGCCCTCTGATAAGTAAAAGTGAGACGGCAAAAATGAGTTGCATCACTAACCCGTCGTTCGTTGCTAAGCTCTTGCGAATGACCCCAGTTTGAGCTAGAATAACAGTGCAAGAAACCAGACTTTTCCTATATGGAGGATCGGAGCAAAGGTCTGGATATTCCTGAGAACCGTGACGAAGAGTCGAAGATGGATAATGAATAGCATAAGGTGTGCGAATTGAGCTTTTAAGGTCGGAGCCTGATAAGCGCCCATGATGGAATTCGTTTTCACTCATTCAACCCTTCATTTAACCGAACCAATACCCCACAGTCCTGTACGCATTGAAGGACGTTGGCACTGGGGCGACAGTGCACACGAAGCAACAAACAAAAATCCGAAAAGTAAAAAATGTCGCTTCACTGATCGACGACAGCATATTTTGCGAATGAGCAAAAACAGATAACCGCAAGGGAAATAACGAAACCATTATGTTAGAGAAAAGTGACCACAGTGAGTTTATGTCAATCATCAACTATGGCTAAAGTACAGTTGCTGGAGTGGCCAAATTTCAAAAAGAGAAAACAATCAGAAAACTAAAGGAGAAATGGTAACACGAAGGTCAACACACAGAAAGTGTGGTTATGGACGATGGAAAGCAAATAGCATCCTGCACCGGTGTGCCGCTGGCGAACAGCATCGAGATGGAGAAGAGTCAACATTGGGTGCTTAAGTGATTTGTGTGTGTAAGCCTACTAGTAAATCTATAACGATCAGCGCTCAGATAGCACATGCGCAGCACCGACATAAATGCCTCCAACTCTGACGGTGGAGACAGTGAAGACCTTTACTTTTTGCCAACCTCTTGAACAGCCTCAGAAGTATGAGGAGGGTGCATGAGAACCAGCAATAACGTGGCTGAGCCACGTGCTGCGCATGCCAGTCCAGTGACTCCCGCGACGTGTGTCGTTTGCGCCCTCAGGGTCTGGATGGAAGAAAAGAAGAGGGGCCAAGCAATAACCTAGTTAAGAGGAATGAAGCCCCCCACTTCGAAGTCCGTTGGTGCATCCTGACTGCCGGACTGGGGTCCGAAGGACGATAAACATGTTTGGTTGGACGCCATTGCTGACAGGGATAAGAGTCAGTCCCAACGGAGCGTGTGCTGAGTTTCTTGGTCCACCCCCTCTCCTTTAGACCCCCCTCCAATGACGATCACATAGCAAATTAATAATATTATATTTAACATTATATTTCTTGTTTTCTGAATTTTTGTAGTGTTGTTTTTTAGCATCTTGTGTTTTGTGTATTGCGGCACATTAGCTGTGGCGTGTTTTTCAGCCTCAAATAACACGTATTGATGATGATGCAGCACACCAACGCTCGACTGACCGTGCCCGATTGTGGAGCCACCAGTTTCTGAAGACCTTGCCAGAGGGACTTCCCACACGTCAAAAGCTCGAAAGAAGGACTCCAGAGGTCACGTAAAGATTTACGGGGAGTGTTTTTTTGGGCGGATCGGAATAAGTGGAGCCTATCGTGGGTGTCATATTCCCACATTTTTGGTTACTTTAAGATGACAATGATTATGAATAATTCTGTTGCCGTAATCCTCTGAATTGGAATTTTTGTCAGTTCATAGACCGATAAACTTAGTAGAAATGTTACTCTCAAGTAGTAGGATTTTAGCTGTAATTTTTTAAGCGATGCATCCCAGTAGTTTGCAAGCTACATAGTACAGCATAGTGCTTTTTCGGACTAGGCTGTGCTATGGATTTAGTGTCTAGTGGAAGATAGGTGGTGCTATATCCCAGTTAGCTTGGAAATTATGTAGCCCAGTCAGCGTCAATAACGGCTGAAGCTGCTGGCTAGTTGGCATCTGCCTAGCGGTCATGGATTCGATCCCCAGTAGGCGGCCGAGGGGATGCGCGCCACTGACGAGCACCAATAGGACGAAACACGTCTGGTGCTTTTCCCGACTAGGCTGGGCTATGTAGCTTGTGAACTACTGGGATGAATACTTTAAGAAATTAGTAGAAATGAACAGTTCAGCCCTCCTGGACCAGACTCCGTTGCCACATGAGCCCTGCTGAATAGGCCGACATGTTCCAACATCCAACGATCGCTGATGAACTACCAAAAGCTGCCGACCAGTTAATGTATCCATTGACTGTGAATCGAGAGCTGATTGAATCGATCGTAAATCGACAGAAAAGCGGGGTAGTTTATAGTAATGAAACGTACCAATTGTTGATTAGTTTCAAGTAGTTGGGCCTTCCTTATATCGTATTCCTAAGGGGTGTAAAAAAGAAAACGGATTGGTGCAACCCAAATAACCGGATAAAATCATAACTCTATTGTGTTTTGGGTCAGATTGCAAAACAAAGTCACATAGTAAGGGGGATAGCAAATGCAGAGTGATCGGAAACTGATTATATACCCAAAGAAGATCCAGGAAAACCCGGTGAAAAATAAGGGATGAAAGACAAGTGTGATGCGGACCCGGCTACAGGGTAGTACCAACAACTAGTGTGGGCTGTTATATATAATCCATGTAAGAAAGCAAGAATACAGTTACGCTGTTCGGACAGCCAAGTCACACTTTCCGGTTGCCAATGCACTTGCCGCCACTCGTAAGAGCGGTTTCGCCGAAAAAACCGGAATATTTGAAAACTGGGCGGTGAAATTTTATGGGAAGTAGGAGGACCGAAATGGACTCACTGAAGATCAGGCACACTAGAGTTTATCGGGTTAGAAAGTGAGACACTTTCCGCAGCCAAGCAGATGCGAATGAGATGGTGCACCTTTTAAGTCTATATATCACAATGTACAAAAAGAAACCGAGCTTGTGAACTAGTGCTCCAACCGGCAAAGTGAGTGTGCTGTAGCTACTGAAGGCATGCCAACAAACCGTCGGGGGAAATGCGGCAAATGGCAGTTTATTGTCTCAACAAACTTGCAGGTGCTCTCAGCAGTCGTAGCGCACTCTGCCGATTGGTGCGGTATTTCAGCAGCACGGTTTATTTTTGAACACAGCAAATATATATATATATATATATATATATATATATATATATATATATATATATATCAAACATTTTGAGCCACAAACGAGCGCCAAGGGAAAGAAGTAAAAGCCTCATCAGTAGCCCAGGCTTATCAAATACCTTGTTATCAACGATTCGCAAATCAACTTAGCTCAGTGAAGCGCAATTTAAAAAATGAGACATCCCCCTTTCCAATCGGTTACAATGCCTTACGATATGATACCAAGAATGAGTCGGAGGATTATGGAGTCTAGAATGTCGTTCACTGCGCAGTGTGGATATAGTGATTTCGTAACAGAGAGCACATTTCTCGTTCGAACTAGTAAAGCTCATGAAAGTAAGCTGTGCAAAAGTAGGAAGGAAGGAGAGAAACAAAATGTTAAATCAAGTATACTGATGGGTATCATTGCCTCTGCCATATATGGGCTCAAATGGATCAACTAATCCAGAACTTATCCAGTGCATATAGCTCAGAAATGGCTGTACACTAAACTAGATTAGTTCAGAAATATCCAACATGACGATATTTTGAACTTGAGCACAATGGTTTGCATGCCAGTGAGTCTAGCACCGAAGCCCCATTGATTCGCACCACAAGGAGAATAACAGTTGACTACAGGGAAGAGAACGCAAAATGCGATAAAAAGGTGTTATAAAAGGACGAATTGTAATAGATTGATTTGACAACTACACTGCATCAGATGGGATTCCCAACCGTTAATGTGTTAAATCCCGAGACCCTCAGCACCCCATTCAGAAAAGCAGTATATACCACAGCGCATAGGTCGATGGATTGATCAATCAATCATAGCCTTGTGCAATGTCATTAAGTGGCCACCTCGGGGCTACACAAAAATAACTCCGGTATGAGAAAACGGTGCATACAGAGTTGACAAGTTTGTGGGCATGTGAAACACGTGAGCAACCCACTTTAGGTACTTTCAGATTGAAAATACATTCTGGTGGTGCACGATGTCTGTTACTGAACTGACGAGTTCCAACCATATCAGTTTGTATCGATGCTCAACTTCGAAGGGAGCTCAGGAGAAATCTCCTATTCCTGACTTACTGTGGTGGCTAACGTAACCATGTATGCGCCTGCAGGAAGGTGTTCCAAGGATTCAGCGCGTCAGGTTTTCTAAGAGCACCCAACCCCTCCAGTACCTGTTAAGGCTGTGACATCAAAGCATTGTTTTGCCTCGACTGCGCGGAGGAATTTGTATATGAATGCGGACCTTATAAAATCCAAGCATCTATCCTACGACCTCATTTTCACCTGTCCTCTCGTATTGTTGAATCCCCTACCTGCACTTCATAATTCTGCATTCGAAGTTTCCATTCGGATTGAGGAAAGCACCGATAGTTCCTTTCCAAATGGTCAAATCGCTTCATCGTTGGACCATACATTATTTCTTCCAGTGTGTTAAAAGTAAAGCTTCATCCCTCCCTTCTTCCCTGAGTTGTACACATGCCAGAATGAGACTATAAATAGCATCCTTGTGATAGGAATGACCAAGGTATACTTCAAACTGAACAAAGGTGTCAATAGAGAATGCGTCTCGCAATCAAAACACAAGGTGAGTAATGCAAATCCAACTTTGAGTTCCTCACCGTCGCGCAAAGCGTTACTCACGAACTTTAGTTGCATAGTGATCAAAGTGTCACCCGTTAGCCGCTGGGCTCCGAGTTCCAGCCCAGCTCAGGTTATCTCCAGCTGACGAGTCCAAACGAGGACGAAACAAGTCATGGGGTGTCAGTGCTGGGAGGAGCAACACTAAAACACTTACATCTACAGTCGTCGTTAATCACTAGGCCACAAATGTTGACCATCCAGAGACGCATTACCATGAAGACGGTACGCAGCAGCTTGACCAAGTACCTCAGTCAACTTCTTCATGTCTTTATATCACGTCATCGATTGGCCAAGCTAGTGAATGAATTGGCAAAACTAGCCTGGGTTCTCAAAGCGACACTTACTTATGTAGACAGAAGAAGCTAAGTCTACTGAGTAAGGGAAGAGCCTACAAAGATGAAGTGTCGCCGGTTTAAGCTACATGGGGAGAAGACATGACCATCCGGGGAATAAATAAGATTGTTGAGATCTGAACCCTGATACCATCATCAATACACGTTAGCTGAGGATGAGAAGCACACCTCAGCTAATGCGCCGCAATATAAAATGATAAAACTAAAAAAATCACACTATAAAAATACGATGTTAAATATTACATTATGCGCTGCAGGAGCTCGGGATTAGAGGGGGAACCTAAAGGGAGGGGGAAGAGGATGCACAAAGAAACGCACAACACAAACACCATTGGGGCCGCCTCCTAGCAATGTCAGCAAGTGTGTCCAACCAAATGTGTTCATCGTCTTCCGGACCTCAACCAGACAGTCGGGATGCACCAACCGACGCCAGTTTCGAAGTGAGGGTTTTCATTCCTCTCGACCAAGTCATCGCTTGGCCTCCCCTCTTCCTCTTCCAACCGCGTCCCGACGCGCAAACAATGCACATCGCGGGAGTCGCTGGGCTGGAATGCGCAACAGGTGGACCAGCCATCGGAGCCTGGTGCGTGATATAATGGTGCTGAGCGGTTCACTTGCTATTCCTGCACCAAAAACACGACGCCGAACACGCTCATTGCCCACGCAGTGCTCCTACCAGACAGGAGCTAAGCTGCGGAGGCAGCGATGATCGAATGCGACGAGCCTCTTTCTGTCTGTCGACCTAATGGACCAGGTTTCACAACCATATAGGAAAGTTGAACGTTCGGCTGCGTTATAAACTCTGCCCTTTAGGGCGAGAGTAATGTCGCGTTTGCGTCACAGATGGCGGCGGTTGGCAAAAGCACCTCGAGCTTTTGTTACACGGTTCGTAACCTCATCTTCGATCCCACGGACGCTGGTATAGCTGTCCAGGTGCTTGAATCCCTGAATGACTTCTAGCTGAGCACCACAAAGCGTTAACACATGAGGTGAATCCCTGGAGAAGTACCTTGCATTTCGATAGAGCAAAGCATAGCCCAAAACAATAGACAGCCAGTGCTAATCGGTCCAGTGCTGCTTGGCATGTTTGGGAGTTGTCAAAGATTAGGGCAATATCGTCCGCCTACTCCAAGTCAAGCAGTCGCTCCACACCATTTAGGTCGTGTCCACAGCACGCCGTTTCCATGACTTCGTCGACTGAGGAGTTAAATCGGAAAGGTGACAGCGGGCAACCCTGTCTCGCACCGCTGGTGATACTGAAGGGTGTCGACAGTTTGCCATAAACCCTCACTATACCCCAACTATGCGCGTACAGGGTCTTGATAATTTTTACGTATTTATCAGGCACACCTTTCCTTAGCAGACAGTCCCAAAGGGCCCATCGATCGACTGAGTCGAAGACACCTTTGATGTCAAGAAACACAACAACGGTGGGTCACCAGTAAACATGGCGGTGATCCAAAAATTGACGCAAGGTGAAGATGTGGTCGATGCAGCCCCGATCTCGACGAAACCCAGCTTGCTTTTCACGGATCTGCCTTTCGCGAGTGCCAGCCAGTCTGTGGAGAACGGCAGACGCAAGAAATTTAGAGGCAACTGAGATCAGACTGATCCCCCTATGATTGCCGCATTTCGAACGGAAGCCTCCCTTAAAATTGAGACAAGGACGGAGAGGCTGCAGTCTGTCGGGTTAGTCTCCTGCTCACAGATTTTCAATAGCAAGTCGTGTAAATCGTCTACTAAAGCAGGTCCCCTGAATTTGAAAAGGGCCGGGGGAATTTTATCTGCCCCTGCGGCCTTATGCAAAACAGTCTGATCACACGTTCGACTTCTGCGCGTGTTGGCGGATCCAAGGAGACGGCCCAGGGAGAAGGGCGCTCAATGCCCGAAAAAGAAAGCGATAACTCTTGCAAAGTGTTCGCCCCAACGCTCCAAGCGTTTTGACAGGCTGTGGATCGGCTGCTCACTCTGCTCGCGTATGGTCTCGCTAACACCAGGTCTCCTGTTGCCTGTTTCCAGTATCAGAGGGAATAACTTACGATGATTACCAACGGTAGCGGCTGTTTCCATCTCCGAGGTACGACGAGACCACCAGGTTTCGCAGTCTTTCTTCAGGCTAGCACGCAGTTTTGCCCTGAGATTTTTACCAGCCTTATTGTATTCGCTCCAAGCCTGAATACATCGGCGAGCATCCATAAGTCCCAGAGACTGTGTAGAGACCCAATGTCCAATTTGGTAATTTGATTTGTCACGTGAAGA